TAAAGCAAAAACAACAAGTTGCCCTACAAGTCCTCGGCGCTATAACCCTAGATCGTTCGAGGAGTCGAAAGGGAGAAGTACAATTGTATTGTATTGTTCAAGGTCTGGATCTTACGGCAATATCTCCTGACCAGAAGCACGACTTGCACTGGACAATTCGGCTACGAAAGAACAAGAGTCATACAAACTGTAGACAATCGAATCCCGTCAATCCGTAATTCCCTCTCCATTCTTCCCTTCTCCACAGGATCAGGGTAAAGCACGAGGCAGTCCGAAAGAAGAAGAAAAGAAAAATATAACCAGACCATGCATGTCAAAAAATTGCACTGCATTCCCTTCAATATTCACCGATCGTGGCCTCGGGAATAGCCGCCCTTGAAAAATAGGCGATGATTAGGCTGAGAAGACAATGGATAACGAAGATGGTTAGATTAGTACTGATGTGTCTTGATGACGCTCAGACCCTATATCGTGGAGGCATATAAAGAGCGTGGCTCTCAAAGTTAACCAAGTCAGCTCAATTCCCCCACTCCCCACACAACAAGAGTTCCGAGGAACAACTCCCCCCCCCCCTCAGCGCGTCATTTACACAGCAGAGCACAATGGTACTCACTCGCGCAATGTGGAAGCAACTAGCAGCCACTCAGACCACAAACATGGAGACGACAGTCAGTAATGAGACGCCATTAATGCATTCAAGGCGTTCGCGTATTACGCATTCCGGAAATGGTCCGCAATCAATGGCCGGAGAGGGCACCGCCGTCCATAACAATGCGGTTGAAGGCTCCGCCAACGTCCGCACCAATGCCTTCAGCACCAGCACGGGAAGCGTCGGTGCTTTACAACACAACATCACTATAGAGGACCAGTCCTCTAACACCCAAACTGCACAAGCTGTGCATATTGTTGAAACGAAACGTAAAAGAAATGGTAAGTCATCTTCCTCAGTCCGAGTTGAAATTCCTCATTAAAATATCTATTCCAGCCGAGGTCCTTGATAGCCAGCCACAGGCATCGGGATCTTCCACCGAAAGTCCGCAAAATTCTCGTGAAGGTGAGTTAGACCACCCTACGTAAGTGCAGCATTGAGCTGACATAACGCCTAGACCTTCCGAATGCCTCCCTCTCACTCTTTCCCAGGCCGAAAGCTCGCAAGAAGCGCGGGCATGGGTGGACCCACAAGAAAGCCAGAAGGGCGACTACTACCCAAGGTCGTGCTGTCCGGGCAGGCGGCAAGCGCCCAGTCGAGGGCGTCGATGGCGAAGAAGACGAGGCAAGGCTAATGAAGAGGCGTCATATTAGTGAGGACGCCGTTGCGGGGCCATCCAACGCACGTTCAATATCGTTGGACAACACGATTGGTGCAACCAACGTCCGTCAGCTGCGATCGCGCAGCATCGTCTTTCCCGCAGATCCCGCAAACTCGGGAAGCGACGAGGGAAACAGGACGACGAGATCGCCATCTCCAGATCGTGCATCAGAACGACCGACTTTAGAGGATACACTAGAAAATGAGGTAGACTTCACTCTCATAAAAACAGAGGATGAAGAGGAGGATTTCCTCTGGGATACTTCTCCGCCTCGGGATTGGAGTCTGCTGATGCCAGAATATGAACTGGCAACCGAAAACACGTTCCGATTTGACAGTAACCGGAGTACGCCGGAGTTGACGACTGGACGTGACGGGTCCCATAGGGATAGAAACGAATCGGTCGGCTCAACGCCCGTAGGAACGCCACGGGCCGAGTCAGCGGACGTCCAATCGTTTGATAGATCCCTTGTGATCGTTCTTCCGGGAACGATGGAGGAAGCGGAGCCACCAGACGAGTTGATGGACGTTCGGGATGAGGGTGAGGACGAGGACGAAGGCGAGGACGATGTTTCGGTTCCTTCCATCCCTGTTGACAGAAGAAGATCAAGGGCTCCCAGCCCTCCATCTCTTCCTCCATCACACTCTGTCTCAAGACTTTCGACTCCCCAGCGTGATGAGGAGACATAAAGCGCTAGATAGTTCATATGGATGTCACCAAAAGAAGCGGCTCCATATAGTCTTGAGCGTCACGGCCATATCCAATCAAGCCTAGAGGTCTCGAATTTTTATCGTTCATCTCGACAGCCGCCCAGAGGAAGATGCGTACGATCAAAAGATCATTCCACACCTCGATTATGGTAATGAACCGCAAAGTCGGCCTGCTCGTCCTCCTGGCTTCTTGTGGCTGCCTTATTGTTAGTCCGGTGTCGGTAACGCGTCCAAGGACTTTGGAATCGACCATCATCAGCTGGGCGTCTGCTCCTGCTGGATAATGCCCATCCAACGCTAACCGCCGTTAATCCGAGTCTTCCGAAGTGTATATCAGCAACTTGACAGCGTCCTCCGATGCAACAGCGAGTTGAACGATATGGTCGGGAGTTCATACAACAACCTCGGTGATAGCCCTTCATTACTTTCGGCACGTTTTTCACTGCTTTCCGCTGTCCCGCTTCCGCGACCGCACCCCTAGCTCCTTCCTCGTCCTTCCGCGAGTGCTTGCTCTCAGCCCGCTCTGTACTTGAACTTGTTTCTGTATTTGTATCTCTTGTCTCCTCTCTCGGTTTTGCACTTCCTGTACAGCCAAAGGCTACCTTCTCCTTGTAATGTAATAATAGAAAAGCGGTGCCGACATCGGCGTCGACTCTTGGCTTGCTGATCCTTCGAGATCAGTCAAGCCTCCTCATAAACCTCTGGCAGAAGCATCCTCGAGAGATGGAGACCCAGAAGATTATGCACAAGGTAACGGTAGACTAGAAAGGTTGAAGGGCCTCAACCCTGCTGAGCCATTCACCAAGTTTGAAGGCCCAGGTACATCGCCACCGGATTGCACTTCTGCCAGGGTCGTCGAAGACGAGGCCTGAGTTGATTTGCATTACTCCGTACTGAAGGTAAACGGACTGATTGAAGACATCTGGTGTGCACATCCTCTATTCATAATAAATAAGTGCACCACCATGATGTGAATGAAATCTGGCTCACAGATAGACAACTACAGTGGTATTGTGAGTCTGTCACATACCAAGTTGTGGAACCGAGTTTAAGATCTGACAGCAAGGCGGATCCTGAACAAGAAGAATTCAGTATGGTACCAGATTTCATAGGAATCCGAACCACACCGAACCTTTGTTCAAGTTACAAATATACAATTAGCACACGCTCGTGTTGTGCTGATAGAGGCAAGAATGAACGAAACTTGTAGTGCGTTGTCAAGTGAACGCAAGGAGTGCTGCTCGAAAACATCCAGTACGCTCGTCCTGCATCCTTACTTATTAAATATGTCGAGCTAGGATAGGAAAGGAAAGTTGTCTTACGGATGGACTTGAAGCATATATGCTCTCTCAGTGGGTTTCATTTAAAGGCCAACGAACGCAAGAACTGTCAACAAGAAAAACCGGAACATAGCAGACGGACGTCGACGAGAAACATCGCAAGCCCACCAGTCTGTTTTGTAGCACACTGGTAGCGATATCGATCCACGAAAATTTCGAGGTTCCTGCGGCGGATGCAGCCGAAATCGATCGAACTCGAAGGTAGGCTGAGCAATGTAAGCGTCGTAAGCAACCTACTACAGTATGGTGAGAGGAAAACCCCGACGTACACAATCCTGGCTGTTGTTTTTACTACGCCCTTGTCCTGGGCCATTGGGCCTAACGTTAATCCTCAAGTAACGTTAATAGTGTTCTTTTTGTGTGAGTAGTAGAATGAAAGGTACGAGTTAAGGTTAAAGTTTGACGTGGTAACAGCTGAGTCAAAATGCGCCAAATATTTCCCACGCCGCATACATTTCGGATTCTCGGAACGACGACTTCTCTCCTCTCCGTTCACTCAGTTACCCCTGCTTATCTTTCTTTATTAACTTTTTATTAACTGGAAATGGTGCGCTGCCCAAAATGCATTATTCGCCTATGAATAATAGCACTGAAACGAATTCGAACAGACAGTGTGTGGTGACTGTGGTGGTACAATCATAGAATACGATGCAGTCGCTGGCAACGGTTTATGTGTTGGGTGCGGGACGGCCGTCGAGGAGATTGTAATTATGTCTGAAGTTATGTTTGGCGAGTCGTCGAGTGGTGCGGCGGTTGTGCAGGGGTCGTTTGTTGGATAGGGTGCAAGTGAGTTGTTGGTCTCTGATCTCCCGTCTCAACTCGTGAAGTTGAGCTAAGTGATGTTCATGTGTTGGTGTTGGTGGTGTTATTGTTGTGGTTTAGCACATGCGAGGATGGGAGGCCCGTACGGGAAGAGGAACACTTCTGAGTCCCGCGTGCAGACAACTTTAATTTTTAATTTTTGGTTCGACGATACGGACTTTACAAGTTCGTTAATTTGTTCTAGCAAGCAGGAAGATCCGGAACGTCGGCACAGTTATGCGTCTCTCGGAGGTCGTCCAGACAGCCGCAATTCGCATGTACACTCTGGCTCTTGAACATAAGTATACATTTCTCCAACTCGTCCAAACCCTCAACCTCCGGCACCATCAACGTCTGTACTGATGCCTTCAGCACCATAAACAGAGCAAGCTGCAAACGGCATAGACCCAAAACGTAAAAGAAATGGTAAGCCGACTTGCTCATTCTGTGTTACAGTTCCTAATTAATATATATATATTCAGCTGAGGCCCTTGAAATCCGAAAGCAACGAGCCTCAGACCTTTCCAACAAAGGTTTGAAAAAATTCTTGCAACGG